GGAGGAGAGGAGTGTGGAGGAACAGGGGGGGAGGAGGAGGAGGAGGGAGGAGGAGAGGAGGAGGGGAGGAGGAGGTGGAGGAACAGGGGGGGAGGGGGAGGAGGAGGAGGAGGAGGGGAGGAAGGAGGAGGAGGAGGAGAGGAGGATGGTGGAGGAACAGGGTGAGGAGGAGGAGGACGAGGAGGAGGAGCGAGGAGGAGGAGGAGGAGGAGGAGGAGGAGGAGGAGCAATGACGCAGTGGGATGCTGCGAGGCCCTTGCGCGCCCGCGCCGGCAGCAGCTGCGCGGCGAGGCACGGGGCCCGAGAGCGGACGAGGCCGCGAGGGCAACCTCTGGCCGAGGCATCCCGTGCAGTCGGGGCGTGGACCTAAGGAACCCTACGGCAGGTTCGTGTCGTGCCGACCCCAGCGTTGGTTTTTGACACCGCAGGGATCGTTCAACCTTGAACGATCGGCCGCTGCCGCAACGTCCGATCGTTCAACATCGATCCATTCTGGGTCGCCGGCGGCGTTCAACCTTGAACGCCCGCGCTGGGGTCGCCGCTGGTCGACACGACGCAAACCTACCGTGCATAAGGAACGAGGCCCCTGTTTTCCCATAAGTTAAACTTCGACTGACCACCTACCAGACCACCCCAACCCAACCCGAAGACCCGAATTTCGGGTTGGGGGGGGGGGTAAGGGTTCCACATGCGTTTTTTTTCTATGTTTCCTGACCCCCCCCCCCCACTGGAAATCGAGAGTAAATCTGAGCCTTCGGGTTGGGTTGGGGTGGTTTGGTGGGCGGGGATCGATTTCCTATCGAAAACATAAGGAAAACCTGAGGCAAGCTGTGAAACACTTGAGGAACGCGGAGCCCCTCCCCAACGAAAAGGGTTCCTTCTTCAGGGCCCCGACTGTACGGCAAATTCGCGCCGTGGCGGCTTGCGCGTGGGTTTCTGGCACCGCGTGGATCATCAAACTTGAGCAACCGCAGCCTTCCGACTGGCGCGCCTAAGATGAGCACCGAAGTGGGTACGAAACAGATCGGCACGAGGCCCAACAGCAAATGTCGTCGGTCCTCGTACACGCTCTGTCTGCACCCAGTTCGATCGTGAGAGTGAGGGTGCCGAGCGGTCATTCCCTGTCTCTGGGTCCGTGGCTGAAGCGGGGGTCCGCGGTGCGGGTCGCTATTGTGGCGCCGTTGTCGTCGTCCTCGCCCGCGACCCGCCCGCCGCCCACCCGTGACCCACCCAGCGACCACCCCACGACCCACCCCGCGACTCATGTTGCTCCCATCGTACTTAAGGACCACATCCCAGAAATGATTTCGAGCACCCAGGAAGAGGTCGAAAGAGTGTCGGAACAGTGTCGAAACAGTGCCTCCCAGGGCCCGACGCGTGAAACCCCTGGAGCTTCGGTACTTACTGCTGGTGCTCGAAGTTCTTTCTGGTGACGAAAGGCTAAAGCAGGCTGGAACATCATCACCCGCGACCCGACCCGCGACCCACCGCGGGACTGCGCGCCGCGACCCGCCCCCGCCGCCTTCACCAGGGGGCAAACACACCTACCTCGCTTTTGACCACCCTCGCCTCCAGGAGATACCCAGCGATGCCAAGCTGCGGCCTGCACTGGTCAGGCCGCTTCACGAGGAGGCGCGTGGTAGGACTTGGCTTTGCCTGGGAGCGAAAGCGGGGTGGGTAATTCACGCCCGTACTTTCCTACATTCTCTGGGTCATTGTCTTCCCCCCCACTTCCCATGTATTTTCCCGTATTCTCTGGGGAATCGACGATTCATTGTGTCAGTGTGTGTGTGTGTTTTCCCTCCTGCAATCCCCCTGCAATATTTTCTCCCGATTCTCTGGGTAGCCCCCTGCGTCCTCCCTATGGGTATGGGTGCGTGTTGTTCGCTCGTCATTCACGGACTCATCCGCGCCCGACCGATCAAAGCCGCGCGCCAACCCTGCCGGATCCCTCGAGGAGGCGCCCTGTAGGAGGGGGGCATCCAAGAGTTAGGTCGGGCCTGTCCCCCTACAGGGGGATTTTCGACAAAAGATTGAAGATACCCCAGAAATAATCCGACAGTGATAAACAGATAGTCGGTGGATTACTTTTGGAGCATTGTTTGACCTTTTGGGGGCACTTTCGGGGTATTTTTTCCTTTTTCGTCGAAAATCCCCCTGTATGGGGGACACGCCCGACTTCCTCCAAGAGGGGGGTCGCGAGCCACGGGCCGCGGCGCGCGCCCGGACGGGGCAAAAAGACCAGGGGGGCGTGCCAGGAGACGAAAGGGGCCACGAAACCGGGGATCTGTCCTGCGATATGCCCCACCCCCCCCCCCTTTAATGGAGGATGACGATTCATACATGACCGGGGGTCGTGTTCACGCGGCGGCGCCCGGGAGGACGATTAGGAGAAGCCGGCCGCGGGCTGGAAAACTATATTTTTTCATCGTTCTCCTCCAGTCACAAAACTGTGCAGAAATAGTCGGGAGCGGCCAAGAGGGGGGTGTACAAGAGGGGGGGGTGCAAATCATGGCCGGCGGCATGTGCGCGGCGCAGCGGGGGGGCCAGGGACGTAATGAAATAAGAAGAGGCGCCATGTGATCTGGGGAAAAATCATGGCCCCCGCCATGATATCCACCCCCCCTAGTCATCACCCCCCTCTTTTCCGCCCCCGAAATAGCAGGGAACTATCTGTTTAATCGTTCTCTCCCATTTGTTTTATTAATCGTCATCCCGCATCAGGCCATGACCCCCAGTGGGGGCCCTGGAAGCGGCAGGGCCCTCGCGCCCCACCGCTGTCTCAGCGCCGCCCCTCGATCATGGCAGCGACAAGCGACGACGCACCGAAACGGCATCCTTTCGGGGGCCCCTCCTCCTCCTCCTCCTCTCCTCCTCCCCCTCCTCCTCCTCCCCCTCCTCACCCCTCCTCCTCCTCCTCCATCCTCCTCCTCCTCCTTCTCCCCCTCCCTCTCCGAAACGCTGGGCATCCCCAAGGAACCGAAGGAACGCCAGGACGCTCGGCATCGGTTCAACAAGTCGGATCCAGGGAAACCATGTGATCTGGGGGGCCAGGCGCCCCACCAACGTGGAGCGAACCACAGGACAACACCCCACCGGCGCCAGAAACGCGTCAGGCACAGCTGCGCCCGAAACGGCAGAAACTGGCGCGGCAACAGAAACCGCCCTCCGTTACAAGAGCCCGCCCGAGCCCTCGGCCCCGTCTTGGGACTCCCCCGAGCCCCAGTGGACGACCTGCTGGTGGCCCCCAGCACCCCCGACGTCATGATTTTTTCATACCACTCGACCCCTAGAGGTCTGGAACCCTTCCCTTGACCGGTTTTTCATCCTGAGGCGTTTCTTGACGGTCCCGAGGCCTGGTGGGGCCCACTGGAGGCCGAAAATAGCGAAAACCCTCCCGTCGTGACCCTTTTTTCACCACGCGTGGGGGTCTGGGGCAATTGCCCCCCCCCCCCCCCTCCCCCTGGTCTTGCCGAAGCCCCAGACTGCCCGCACGCCCGCCGTGCAATGCACCGCCTGCGGGCCCTATCGCGGCCCGCACGCTCTAAAACTCGGGGACCCGCTTGCCTGGGTCCGCGCCAAGGTCGACCATGTCGAACCCGAGCTTGCCACGAATGAACCACCAACCTAGACCCCCTCGCGTCGAAAAAACTCGTGACGTACACGCCGTTCATTTCTAACCGTGCTCATTTCTGATTGTGCTCGTTTCTAATTCTTCATGGCCCCCTAGTGGCCAGGAAGAGGCCAAGGACAGAACAATTAGAAATGAAAGGCCCCAAACAAAAATCAAAGAACTTTCGAACACTTAGACATGCACCATGTGTATATGGATTTGTACTGCTTCCGGGCGCCGGGGGCGCTCGCCGGGCCCGGGGACCGTCAAAAACTTGTCAGGATGGAAAACTGGCCTGGGGTAGCGGATGGAGGCTTCCGGGGACCACGAACTGAACACCAAAAACAAACACAACAAAACATCGCATGTCTGGATCCGCGGAGGGCGCGAGAAGGGTGGGCCGGCCCCCTGTCGGCGACGAAGAGAAGCAGGTCTTACGCGAGATGCTATGGCGACCTCACACAGCGGCTTACGCGGGCCGCCGGCGCGGCACACCACACCAGAAACGAGGGCGCTTACGCGCGACCTTAAGCGAGAGGCTTACGCGCCAATGTCGGTGAAGCCGAACCCGTTTTCCTTCGTCGCTCAAGTGCAGACGGCTCCAAGCCCAGGGCGGTCGCAAGGGAGCTGCGGACCCCGATTGGCTTTGACACCCCGCTTCGGCGCGCCCGGCAAACGCTGACATCCGCCAGTACGTGTTTGCGGTCCCGACCGCTGCCCCCAGGAGATTGCCTTCGTCCCCGGTAATTTTGTTTTGTGGCGCAAGGCCCGATGCGGGCCCCGGCAGCCCAAGCCGAGGAAGCACGCCAGGATTCATCAACGCAGTCAGATCGCGGGGGGGGATCTGGGCGCGACGGCGGCCACCCCCACCGACGAGGGGCTGCGAGGCGAGTGCTCTCTTTTTGTTGCTCTTCTGGATCTCCACCGCGGTGGTCGCCGGCCCTCGCGCACCGACCTCCTCCTCCTCCTCCTCCTCCTCCTCCTCCTCCTCCTCCTCTTTTCTCTCCTCCTCCTCCTCCTCCTCCTCCTCCTCCTCTTCGTCCTCCTCTTTTCTCTCCTCCTCCTCCTCCTCGTCGTCCTCCTCCTCCTCCTCCTCGTCCTCCTCCTCCTCCTTTCTCTCCTCCTCTTTTCTCTCGCTTCCACCTCCTCCTCCTCCTCCTCCTCACTCCTCCACTCCTAGCTCCTCCCTCCTCCTCCTCCTCCTCGCCTGCTCCTGCCCTCCTCCCTATCCTCCTCCTCCTCCTCCTCCTCATCCTCCTCCTCCTCCTCCCTCCTCCTCCTCCTCTCCTCCTCCTGCTCCTGCTCCTGCTCCTCCTCCTCCTCTCCTCCCTGCTCCTGCTCTCCTCCTCCTCCTCCTCCTCCTCCTCCTCCTCCTCCTCCTCCTCCTCCTCCAGTCCGCGGCTCCACGAGGGGGCAGGCCCACGCGCTGGAGCGGTGGGCCACGAGAGCAACAGTGGTCAGGGGAGGGAGGAGGGCAGGGCTCAGGGCTCCTGCCGAGCACGTGCGGAGGGCAGGGCTCTGGGGGGGTCACGAGCGGCGACTGCATCGAGGTCCGCGCCGCCGCGGCCTGGACGCCAGGGCGCGATTCCGCGGACACGCGGTCGCACGGATGCGTCCCGCGCGGGGCACCCGCGAGCAAGAACCGCCCCGCATCTGCGGGCGGTCGCGGCACGGGGGCTCGGTCCGCGAGGCCGCCGGTGCGGATGGTCGTTCGCTCTTCGCCCACGGGGAAGAGAAAGGGGAGGGTGGATGGAGGGGGCTGGGAAGGAGAGGCATGCCTGGGGGGGGCGGGAGGAGGGGAGGGGGGGGGGATGGGCTCAGGGCTGCGCGCAGACAGCCCGCCGAGATGATTCCCGCTGGCCTGAACGGCCCCCCGAGCAGCCCGGGACGCTGTCAAACGCCCCAAAACTTGGGGCGCGGGGCGCTCGCGCGCCGCTGCCTAGACTACCAGGGCGGGAGGCACTTCCGGCGCGTGGTTCACGCAGCCTGGCGCGACGGAGCTCCTTCGAAGGAGGGAGGAAAAGGGCAGACGCAGAAACTCTCGGGGTACCAAAACGCCGATCCAAGAACTCCGCGCGGAGCTCTGGACAAAACATTTATATATATATATATATATATATATATATATACATATGTTTACAGGGCAGGTTTTAATACATAGGATGTTTAATACATGGGATGTTTAATACATGATTAATTCACTAATGAATCAATGCATGAATTCATCATTGTTTTAATACTAAATCCCTTGATTTGTAATATATGATCCGCACGCGGAGAATGTATTAAAACCGGCGCTGTACGCCGCTTCTCCTCCCTCGGCTCCTGGAGGCCCCGTTGTAGTTGTGCTTGAGCAGGACGCTCACGTTGAAGAAGCTCGGGTCCTCCAGCAGCTGCAGGTCCGAGCTCGGGCGCTGCCCGAAGAGCGCCCCGAGGAACGCGGCGGCGGCGGCCACGATCGTCTCCTGGCTGGGAGGGCTTCGGGCTGCGAGCGGCGAGACCCCCCAAAGTCGGGGCGCGCAAACATGGATTAGCGATCCATGGATTTCGCGCGCGGTCGCCAAATCCATGGAGGTGCCCTCCCCAAAATGCGGCCAGTGCCGCCTCGCTCGGCGGCGGAGATCCGCGGTTTCCCATGGAAGCGGGACCCGTCGCTGATCCACGCCCCCTGAATCTATGTTCGCGATCGCCTGACACGTGGCACCAGGCAGTCCCGGCTGGCCCCTCAACAGGTCCCCCGAATAGCCTGAGGCGGTCTCATCGGCTACACGCAAGAGTGACCCTGGGTAAGAGTGACCTTTGGTGCGCGGCTTTCTGGGGGCTGCAGGGGACCAAACCTGGGCGCGCAAGCCACTGCTCCTGCTTCGCTTTCAGCCACCTGGGGACCCATCTGTGCCCGCACCAAAGGTCACTCCAGCGAAAGGTCACTCTTACGTCTAGGCGATCTCAACATTCCAACTTGAAACCGCCCCGGACTACTCGGGGGCCTGCTGAGGCCAACCGGAAGTACCCGGGGGGGCCTCTCCGTGCGCCACCTGAGGCCTTACCACTCCTTGTAGGCGGCCTTGTCGGTGCTGCTGTTCGTTGGGCAGAGGGAGCCCTGGGTGTCGCAGCAGTCCAGATGCCCGTACTCCGTGGCGTTCACGGCCTGAGGGGAAACGTTAGGGGGGGACTGGCTCAGGGGGACAAACATCGACCCGCAAACCGGCGACACATCGTCGACAGATCGGCGATAGGCTCCCATAGAAAGTTCGCACGGTCCTGGTCGGGACGGGCTATCGGGCCCCAATCGGCGATACATGGGCGGTCGGGCGTCGATGCATCCCCCTCTGAGCGTTTCCGCCCGAACGTTGCCCCTGACGGCCCAGATCGGCCCCCGCATCGCGTTGTAGAAGCGGTCGTTGCTTAAGACCTCTGGCGCGCACGGTGGGTAGAGGGCGTTGGAGCTCTTCGGGTCGAGGCCGTTGTCGAGCAGCAGGGAGGGCAAAGTGAAGTTGAGCTTCTGCCCTGGCGTGATGAGGTCCTCGGACTTCACGATGCGGTACGGGTCGAAGCCGTCCACGGGGTCTATCATGACCCACGCCTGTTGGCGGGCGGAGAGCGGAATGACATAAAATGTTCCGCCATCGGAGGCGCCTGTGCCAGGGCGGCTGGAAAGCTCATACTCCCACCCGCCACCGTAAGGGCGTAAACCTCCCAGCGGCCATGGGACCTCAGACCCCGACTCATGACATGTTCAGAACGTCGACCCCAGAAGTCTCGACCCATCCCCCGGCACCCGCTTTTCATCATGAATCGCCTTTTGACTGTCAGGACCTGGAGCGGGCCCCTGGAGGCCCAAATGAAAAAAAAAACCTCCGTCATGATTTCATTCACTGCCCGAACTCTGGGACACGCGCGAAAGGATGCAGATACCACTACGCCCTGGAACTCTCCTGAGGTGCGGTCTGACCAGAACTTCGGGGCGAATCCAGCGGTGGCGACAAGGGTCTCCCAGCAGGCCCAAAAGGTGAAACGTGGCAATGGTAGCCGTATATTCTCCTCCCCTGATGTATAGAGGCCTCTTAGAGGGGGTCCGAGTAGATGGGGTCGGAGGATTGCACGGCATTGCCGATACATCGCAGATGCACTGGCGATGCATCGGCGACGTCGGCCATGCATCGGCGACGCCACCGCGGACAAAATCGGGCCCCACATCGAGCCGCATCGGCGATGCATCGGCGAGGCGGCGCGATCCTCCGACCCCATCTACCTCGGACCCCGTCTGGGAGGCCTAGAAGGTATACTCTATAAGTATATATATATATACATACATATACCGCCCTGTGCCCGCTGAGCCTTGGCCAGCCCGCAGCCTCGCGTCAGCGCCGCGCCCACCACGTGATTGCCTTCGCCACGAAAACATCACACAAACATCCTCCGACGAACGCTGCATGTACTTTCAGGGAGAGTGGCAGTGTGGTAAGCCGCTGGCTTTCAGCAGTGATTGATGCACCACCACCCGCTGAAGGGTGTCTCTGTGTATCTGTTCGTCGGCCCTCGGCGGCTCTCGCAGGCCCCTGCCGTCCTCGACGGCCCTTGGAGGCCCCCCGCGGCCGAAGAAGACCTCCGGCAAGGCCCCCGAAGGCCTTCGGCGGCCCCGAGGCCCAGGATCAATCCAAGGAAGGGTGTCCGTGTGTACATTTCTGTGGCGGGTTGCCGGAGCTCTGGCCGGCCACCGCGACACGCCGCGAGTCCGGCCGCGCCGCCAGCCCCTGCCGCGCCATCTCGGCGCCCAGGCCGCTCGGCGCCTGCACCCACTCCTCGGGTGCCGCCAGACATGCCCTCTGGCCCAAGACACCTCCAGGGACTCCCAAGGAGGCCCCCACGGCCTCCATAGGACGCTGGAGGACATGCTGATTCTGTGTGCTGATGTCAGAAGCGCATGTCTGACACGGAAATGTAGCGCAAGAGTATTGTAGCAGATCGTTTCCCTAGAGCTATGCCCACGCCCGCCACGGAGCTTGTGCTGTGCCCCTGGCCCAAGGTGCCCCCATGATTTCCAAGGAGGCCCCTCAGACCCCCAGCCGGCTCCAAGGGTCCCTCGCGTGCACCAAGAGGACTCGAGCGAACCCGACGCAGAAGCGGCCATGTGCAGAAGCGTCCCTCTACCCATGGGTCTGTTCTCGCGGAGGACTGCGAAAAGGACGAGGATGCTGATTATGACAAGGAGGAGGAGCGAGGAGGAGCGAGGAGGAGGAGAAGGAGGAGGAGGAGGAGGAGGAGGAGGAGGAGGAGGAGGAGGAGGAGGAGGAGGAGGAGGAGGAGGAGGAGGAGGAGGAGGAGGAGGAGGACAACGAATGAAGGATTTCACGGCGGGACTATGGGCGCGACGGCGGGGGCGGCTGCTCCTCAAAGAGGGGCAGCTGCTCTCAGAAGAGATCGCTAACGCTGCGAAATTGCAGCGTCAACGATCTATTACCTCCTTCTGGAGACTACGCTCGGAGGTGCGTTGCCATGCATCCCTCCCACTGGTGGTGCGGTGCCCAGCATCCCACCGACGGACTGCATTCTCGTGGCAACAACATGCCACGGCGCCAGCGCTACGAGCACGCCTTCCGCCAACCTCCTTATCGCGTAACCGCGGCGCCTGTTTGGCTCCAGATTTCGCATCCCCGCGAGACAGCGGCTACGTTCTCGAGGAGGATGAGGAGGAAGAAGAGGAGGAGGAGGAGGAGGAGGAGGAGGAGGAGGAGGAGCGAGGAGCGAGGAGCGAGAAGCGAGGAGCGAGGAACGAGGAGCGAGGAGGAGGAGGAAGAAGAGGAGGAG